AGCTCTAGGTCACAGGCCCCCTGCCACCCTCTGCCAAGGGGACAGTGAAGCAGACAGGCCAGGGAGAGCCAGGCAGCGTAGCCCAGGAGGGTCCCTGCTCAGAGCAGCACAGGGAAAGCCACATGGTGATGCTTAGAAAAAGGAAACCAAACCAGCAGGAGGTTAGGGAGACAGGGGAGAGAAGGAAAGGACGATGGGAGGGAAGGAGCAATGGGGACAGGGGAGGGGGGAGTGCCAAAAACAGTGACAGAGACAGGGACACAGTGATGGATGACAGGGCTGAGGCTGGGAGAAAGAGGAGGAGGAGACAGAAGGAGGCAGCATGGTGGGGGGTGCAGGCTCAGCACAGTGCTGGGTGCTTAGTGCACACTGACATGCCTGCCCCTCTCAGGTAGAAACCGTAATTATCCCACTTGACAGATGGGGAAATGGAGGCAAAGAAACTTGAGAGGACTCACAGCTTCCTTAAAACAGAATTTGAATGTAGGCCACTGATGTCAGCATCTGCACCCTTGATACCCATGCTGCCCTGACTCTGTGTCCCCCCTCATCCTGACCATGACACCTGTCCCTCCTCATGGCACCTGCAGGCCAGTGGGCCCCATTTCACTGACCCATGAGGAAATGCCAGCCCAGGGAGGGAGAGCGGAGAGAGCTGCTCAAGGTCATGTGATTGCCACACACAGGACACCTGCACACATCATTTCGCAAGGCCTCTTCTGCCAATCATGATACTGGGTGAAACACTGCACTAGAAACCTGCAGCAGAAGCATGGCCATCATCCTCTGCATGCCCACCACCTGCCGTACGTCCACCTCAGCCAAGGCAGGGCTTGCGCCCTGGGCAGGGTGAGGGCATAGACATCATGTGGGGGGATGCTGTTTGGAGACTCTGCAGTCCAGCGAGCAGACATGATGACACCCGGCTTCTGGTTAATAAGTTCCATTGGGTCACAGTGTTGCAAGAGCAGACAAGCAGGACAGCCAGGCCCCAGCAAGCTCCTGCCAGTAGGCATGGGCTCCCAAGAGGCCTCTGAGGGTCTCTGCCCTGCCCATTCCTTCCCCCAGGGGCTTTCTGGGGTCACCTGCATGTCTCAGAGTCAGGGATATTCCTTCTGGGAATCAGGCCCAAGGGAGGGACACATTGGACAAGGCCTTTTCAAGTATTATAGGAAGCAATTCTGCTGTTTAGGGAGAGGGAACTAGAGCTCTCCCTGTGTGTTTAGTTCAAACTCCATTTGCTGAACTCCTCAGGCTATCTGGAATGGAACCCCGATCCGCCCAGATCCTTGCTGGGCAGTCCTGTTGGCTCTGCCTCCAGAACCCTCTGGACTCCCACTTTTACCTACCCTGCCCACAGCCAGCCCTGGCTAGGTCTCAGGGCTTTCCCTGAGACAATTACCAAGACTGGAGGAAGATGCCTCGCCTGTCTCTTATTTCTCCTCACCCCACCTTGGTGATCTCTAAACCCACAGGGTTTCTCATACCTCACAGCAAACCCTGGTTCCCACCCAGTCCCTCCAGGGTGCTTTGCTGCTGAAATCTTTTGCTTTCTGTGTAAGTTGACCCCTCTGGAAGGTTAGTTCTACAAGGAAGGGGACTTTTTGCTTTTCTGTACCCTGCCAGTGCCAGTGACTATTTATTTAAAGACTGATGCCCTCTGACAGTCATAGGAAGAACACTCCAACCCCTAGCATGTCATTCAAGGCTATTCATGACTGAAGCCCAACTTAGGGTATCTTCCTGCCTCCCATCCCACCACTCTCTCTCAAGGACCCAGAGCTCCACCCACAGCACATTGCTTCACACCCCAGGCATTTCACTCCTCCATGCTTTTGTCTGTACCATTCCCTCTGCTTACAGATTCCTCTCCTTATTTTCCTACCTAGTAAACTCCTATGCAGCCTTCAAAGCCCAACACCAATGCCCCAGCTTTGTAGAATGGCAAGAAAAAGGATTTGGGGTTTCAACTGGGATTTAAATCCTGGCACCATACTTCCTGGCTTGAGCAAGTAACTTCCTTTCTCTTGATCTTTTCTCCTCTGCAAAATGGGATTGCCAATTCCTGTTCTGCAGAGCTGCCCACTGCCAGCTTGTCTCGTCTCACTGTACTCTCTGGAGGTCTTCTGAGCTCTCGACACTCCAGCAGTACCTGAACGTGGACAGCAGCATGGGGAACGTCTACCTATTTGGCCCCAGCAGCCGCTCCCCGTCCCATTGCGAACCCACTAGAGGAGGAAGCCTCCCAGGCATTCAGCCCAGGTGGTTCTGATAGGCTACCCTCCATCTCCACCTGCTGGGAGAGGCATGTGGCCCAGGCCTGTCCAATCAGAGCCTCCAGCCCTTCCTGCCACCTGATTGGCTCAGGGATGGGCACGTGAGACCCAGTCCAGGCCAATGGACGCCTCCTTGGGACTTGGGCTAGAACCCGTGGCAAATGAGCCGTCTCTAGCTTTGGGCTGGGTTTGCTGAGCTGGTGCAGCTGAGAATGAGGCTATGGCAGAGAAAAGCCAAACTACAGCTGGAGGTGTGATCTGAAACCCGAGATCTATGCCAGTCTGAGGCAGAGGCACCTGGCCTTTTCAGCCACAGGCACAAGGGAGTCTGAGTTGGGTTGGGTTTGTCCTCGCCGAGGCTGCCGTTGTGTGCCATCGGGTAGTCCAAAGTTTCAGCTTCGTCGACTCCCTGAGGGTGAGCAGGGGCTGGAACGGGATGCAGAGCCTCGCCTGGCTCCAAGAGGAACACCTGTGACTCCAAACACTGGGACAGGGGCTCAGCCCCGCGGCTGTGGGAGTGGAATGGGGGAGGGAGCCTGGAGACAACATCGCTCTCGCCGGTGTCTCAGAGGCAGAAGATATAGAGCCGAGACCTTGGGCTTTCATATTAAAAATGTAAGTTCCTTGAGGCCGGGGTATGGGTAAGTTTTGTTCCCGACTGTCTCCCAGCACCTAGACATACGCTTGGCATGAGCAGACAACCAACAGGTCTGTGGTCCATGGTGTGCCAGCCACGGGAAGCATGGCCACCATGCCCCAAGAGACCTAGGGATGACAGTGGAGCTGCTGCTGGGCCCTGGGCCTGAGGGTGGGGTGCTGAGGGTGGGGTGCTGAAGGCAGCCGTGCTCTGCGCAGCTGTTCCACATTCCTGGAATCTCCTCTCCCTGGGACTCTAGTCTAGGCATTAGGCCAGTGCTGGTGGTGGAGCCCTGGGGCTTAGGCTGTGGCTGTGACGAGCCTGCCGCAGACCTCTCCCTAGTAGACTATCTCTAAGCTCCCTGGGGCAGCAGGAGCCCCAGGTCTGAGCCAAGAACCTTCAGTGGCCCCTTGCCAAACTTACGGCAGCACCTCTTGCTTTCGAGAAGGAGGAGACAGTTCTGGGCCTGCCCTCCCCGCAGAAGGGGCTGAAATTCTTCCTGGGTTCTGGAGCCCTCATCCCCAGGCCAGAAGACCTCAGGCCACAGACCACATCCCTTCCAACCCAGGCATGGCTGCAGAGACACTGGAGGCCCTAGTGAGGCCATTTCCAGATGCCATGGGCAGGGCATGCCCCTCCAGCAGGACTAGCCTGGCAGGAAAAGGCTTCTCTCAGCTGGGTGCCCTCCCAAAGTGCCACCTGCAGGCCCACACGCACAGCCTCAGCCGAAGCTTCAGCTTGGGGCTTGGGAGGGAGAGAAGCCAGTGGGAGAGGCTGGACAGGTTGGTCTGATTAACTCTTGCTGGCCCGAGGTCACTCACAAAGCTGTGATGGCTAGAAACAGGCCATGGGATAGGCACAAGAGAGCCTGACAGAAGCAGGCAGAGATTCTAAGAGATGCTGGGTGAGAAGCTCATGGCCAGGGGCAGGACATGCCAGCTGGAGAGCCCAGCCTGCACAAAGGCTAGGAAGGGAGGTTCAGAGCCAACCTCCTAACACCTGCTGTCTCTTCCCAGGCTCTGCAGGAGAGGGAGGGAGGTCAGAGGGAACAAAGCCCAGAAGGTGACTAGTACCTCTGTTTCTCATCCTTCAAACCTGGGTGGAATAGGTGACAGGAAAGAGGTGTCCCACAGAGACATGGGGATGCAGATACTCCATGCAGTCCCTCAAAGATGCATGTTTCTTTGCAGATGCTCCCCAGGACCCAGGCGCTTAGTTGTCTCTCTAACATCCCACGCTGAGCCCTGAGGTGCCAGTAGCCACCAAGCCCTGCCCTGTCTTAGTACTGGGTAAACATCTGTCTACTCAGTGACTGGGAGGACAGAGGCTGTGGCAGACACAGACACTGAGTCTACACCCCAGACTGCCAGGAGGCTCTCCGCTCCACACCACTAGCCAGCTCATGGAAGGGGGGCAGAGGGTGGGCTGGAAAGACCCCAGCCCTATCCCATGGGCTTGAAGAGGCATCCAGGTCTTGCCTGCTGTGTCTGGACACACAGGGAGCAGGGGGCAGAGGCAGTGTGAGGGGCAGGGGGGATGGGCAGAGGCCTTCCCAAGCTGGGATATCCTCAAGTCTTGGGCCATTCCTGCCTCCACAGGAGCCCCAAGCTCTACCCGGTGTGGATTTCAGGATGGAGTAGGGAGTGGCGCCCACTGCACAGTAGGACAACCGAGGGACCTGACCGAGTGGCCCAAGTTTCCCCTCCTACGCGCACGGGCCTAGCACACTCAAGTCCAGGGGCTGCCGGGGGCATAGGGGAAGGGGGCGAAGGTAAGGGAGACGGCCTTTCCGGATTGGCCAAATGACCCCCACCCCCGACAACTGATTCCGGTCTCCAGGCACCGGCTGTGGGACCCAAATAGTCACCACTCCTGGAGTGGGGCGATAACTCCGGAGGAGGAGCAAGAGGCTTTGCTCGAGGGAGGCGTCTTTCGGCGCCCCACCAGCGCCCCTGCCCGCCACCCCTATCCCCAGCTAGGAAGGAGATGGCAGGTGTCTCCGCCACCGTCGAGGGGTCGGGCCGCGGTGGGAAGCCCAAGGAGCGGGGTTTCGTTGTGGGTGCGCGGCGGGGCCGGCGAGCACTCACCTGGGCCCAGGGTGCGGGGCGCGGCGCACAGGAGCAGGAGGAGGGTGGCGCCCAGACAGGCGGCCGCCAGCCCGCGCCGCCGCCAGCAGCGCCTCCCCATACTGTGCCTGGCGCACGGCAGAGGACAGTCCGCTGCGTCCGTCCGGCTGGGGGTGAGTGTGCCAGGGCCCGGGACCCGCCCCCAGTCCGCTGGGCCCCGGCACCACAGCGCCTACCAAGACGCGCGGCGCAGGCCAGGGGAGCACGGCGGCGGGACCCCAGCCCCCTACGAGCCCCTGCAACTCCCTGGGGATTGAGGAGGCGGGCCACAGTGAGGCGGCAGGCCGGTCCTCTTTTCGTGCCCCCACCCTCACCCCACTGGGGCCGAAGTCTAGGGCTGGAGGGTGGAGACTGATTGGGGAAACCCCTCGCCGCGAGGCCCCGCCCCCTAGGGTTTCCCTAGGGATGCCGTCATCCACCCAAGGCCAAGAGGCATTGTCGCTGTGGCGTGGCCCCCACCTCTGCGAGGTGTCCCCTTGCCTTTTTGCTGCCTTAGGTGCCAGGGGCCCAAGGGCTGATCTGGGATGAGCCAAGGAGCGTAGGAGAGTGTCCCGCTGTCCATGGTTCTCCGGGACCCCAGCCCTCAGTAGCAGGCCTAAGACTGTACCTTTCTCCTCCACCCAAGGCTACCCTGCAGCCTTGCTTTCCTCCGGGGTCTCCAGACCCTGCCTGAATCTAGCTCAGGCAGGTCAGGCTAGACTCTGGACAGAGAGGTAGGGTCTCAGCTTATGTTTCCCGGGCATGGAGCTTGTACCTCATCGTGTCACCCACAACTGCTCTGGGCACCACATGAGCACTGAGGACTTGCCAGGGACTCTGTGTGTGCGTTCGTGTGTCTGTTTTGGGGGGTGGAGGGGCGAGGTGAGAGTAAAGTCCAGACTTTGAAAGATGCGCACATCCAGCTAGCCCAGTGGGTGGGAGCCCATGGCCCGACCGCGGGATCTTGCTGCACAGAAGTCAGGCTAGCAAGGAAACGGTGCGGCTGGCACTGTGTGCGCTGGTGAGTTCATTGGAGCCATCATTTAGCAGTGTGAGTGCATGGAATAGGCTACTGTGTTAAACTCCAGGGTTTTCTGGAGATTTTTGTATAAATTTAAGGAAGACAAGTGTAGTTTTGTTACATGGATATAATGTGTAGTGGTGAGGTCTGGACTTTCAGTGTAACTGTCACCTAAGTAATGTCACTGTACCTGTTAAATAATTCCTCCTCCCTCCCACCCCGCCCCCTTCCAAGTCTCCAATGCCTATTGTTCCACACTCTAGGCTTTGGTTATTAAACTGCTCTTGAAAAATCTGGTGACTCCAAATCCACTTGGTCCCACTTACTGCTCTGGGAGATTAGGAAAGTCACTGCACCTCTCTGTGCCCCATTTCCCTGTACACGGGAATAATCCTAAACCTCCATATTGTGAAGATTAAATGAGATATGGGAAATGTTTGCAGCGGTGCCTGGCACTCAGTGAGTGTCAAGTAAGTATTTGATATTAGTAATTAATTTATGGTTACTGCCTGTTTCTGGCTAGTGACTGGTTTCTGTTACAGTGGTGAAATAAAAATTTCCTCCTATCACATTTATTTAAGTTGTGGATCTATTTAAGGAAGAATATTAAGGAAATAATAGTTCTGCTGGTTTTGCGATACAGCTTTAAATGGTGTTGATGTTCTCAAGGACAGAGGCGTGGGAGGCCCCCTCAAAGTAAGCCAGAAGCTTTTTATTATGACTTTCCTGGCCTTGGGGAACCTCCAGCCCACCCCTAGACTGCCCTAGGACCCAGGGATTCCAGGTCATCCGCGTTCCCTGCCGGCCCTACCTCGCATCCAAAGGTGCCTTCCAAATTTCCCCGGACCTGCATTCTCTGGCCCCAGTGCCAGCCCTGGAATCGTCAGCGCTCCTTATGTGCTGCCACCTGGTGGTCAAAGTTGGGAATAACATCTCAGCCCTTTATTCGGAGATATCCCTAGAGACAAGTAGAGAGATGGTCTTGCGTCTTGGGGTGGGAGGATGCAGATCCTGGCTAGACACCCGGGGCCTCGGGAGCTTCCCTGCGAAGATGCCCTCTCCCAGGGACTCACATTCATTCAGTCAGTCATTCAGTCATTCATTCAAGAGATATAGTACACCCACTCAGTGCTGAGGCTCCAGTGAGAGGGCGAGACCCCTGCAGTGTCTGTCGTCACAGCATTTCCATTACAGATGGAAAGCACGGAAAATCTGGATAAAGAGATGGTGCGGTGAATGCTGCTGTGGAGAAAACACAGCGGGTACCAGGATGGAAAGTGTGTCTGGTGTAAGGAGGTTGCTGGAGCAGGCCTTGGGAGGTAGCATTGGAGCAAAGATGTGACTCCAGGGAGCAGAAGGCAGCAGGTGCCATTGCAAAAGCCTTAAGGTGATGTTCCAGTTGCTGTCGCTAGGTAATGAACTGCCCTACAATTTATCGGTTTAAGGCAACCATTTAAATTTTGCTCACAATTTTGTGGATCAGGAATGAGGGAATGGGCTTGGCCGAGTGCTTCTCATGGGAGTCTCAGGCTGCCGCAGTCAGATGGAGGCTGGCACTGTGTCACTGGGAGGCTCACCCAGGTCGAGTGTCCTGCTGACTCACACTGGCCGGTGGTGTCCATCGGGGAGCTCTGCTGGGCAGCGATCTGAGGATCCCCTCAGGATACCCTTCATCCTGGGGGTCTCGTGGGGCACCCTCCAGCCTGGGGACCTCCTAGGGCACCCTCCGGCCTGGGGCCCCATGTGCTTGGACTGTTCCCATGGAGCCTGGCTGTGTGACCATTTTCTGACCTGGCCTGGGGCTGCCTTTTACGCGAAAATCATTGAGGCTGGACCAGACTCAGGAGTGGGGCCACGCCCGCCAGCAGTGCCCAGGAATTTGCAGGCTGTTTTAGAACCACCATGGCTTGTCCCAGGAGCAAAAGGGAGGCTCTGGAGTGGGCGAGAGTGGATGGGTGTAGTCAGGCAGACAGGGAGTCCAGATCCCAAGGGTGGGTTTTTCTAAGCACAGAGGGAAGCCGTCCATGAAGAACTGCTGAATCACAGATGCCACCTCTGCTGCTCTGTGGAAGGCAGGGAAGAGGTGGCGACCAGGAGAGGAGACAGAGCTGTCTCTGGGAGAGATGATGCTTTTCTTTTTCATGGAGGAAACCATTAGAAAAATAATACCTCATCTTGTCTGGTTCGTGTTCTGTGTGAGGTGCTATTCTAAGCCTTTTGTGCCTGTTATCTCACGCAATCCCCAGATGCATTCTGTGAAGTACATAAAAGACTTTGATTTTACAGATGAGGAAACTGAGGCACCGAGAGGCTCAGTAACTTACCCAAGGACACAACTAGGGAGTGGTGTAGCCAGGGTTGTTCGAACCAGGCAGCCTGCCATTTTTAACTTCTGTGAGATCTTCATTATTATTAATATTTTTGGGGGGGATATGGAGTCTCGCTCTTTCACCCAGGCTGGAGTGAAATGGCTTTGTCTCAGCTCACTGCAACCTCCGCCTCCTGGGTTCAAGCGATTCTCCTGCCTCAGCCTCCTCAAATTGGGATTACAGGCACCCGCCACCATGCCCGGCTAATTTTGTATTTTTAGTAGAGACGGGGTGTGGGAAGTAGAAAAATTCATTTTTAAAGTTTCCTATCTTGTTAAAGAATAAGTGTGCTAATAACTTTGTTAAGCCCTATCCTATGTAGCTGTTAGACATGCCATTCTTGCAGGCACATAGTATATTCTATGTCCTTGTACTTTAACCAAAATATCTTTGCTAGATGTGCTAACAGACGTGTCCCAGCTCTCCACTGCTTTTACCTGTTTAGAAAAGTTTTAAGTTGTTAGCCAGCTGGGTTTTAGTTTAGATTGTGAGGTCTGACTCCAGCCAATGGAGATCAGACATAGCAGTAAGGATGACCCCAGATGCGTAAGGAATCAATTTGTGTGTTTTCCTTTGTTTGTTGTGCTCTTGTGGCATGATGGCTATTGAGGGTACCCTTCCTGCAGTCCAGGAACTAAAAATTGCGTTGCTGAAAGATCCTTTGTCTCAATGCTGATTTTTTCTTTGCGATGCTGAGCATCTGTTTCCAACATCTGTTTCCAACATGGGGTTTCACCATGTTGGCCAGGCTGGTCTCAGACTCCTGACCTCAGGTGATCCACCCACCTCAACCTCCCAAAGTGCTAGGATTATAGGCATGAGCCACCATGCCCAGCCAAGACCTATATACTTCTAAATAGTTTGGCAATGTTTATTTGTTTTTAATTAAACTATTTGGGGTCACTAGGTTTGTGTGCAGTTGTAAGAAGAGATCCTGTGTCCCCTTTGCCCAGTGTCCCCCAGTGCTAGGGTCTTGAAGAGCCACAGTGCAGTTAGCCCTGTTGGGATGCGGCATGGAGCCATCCACACGACTTGTGTACAGTGTTCGCCTTTTCACAGATTGGTTGCAGATGTTTAAAACTCAGCAGATTTCAGAAAACCTGTTGGATTTCTGGCCGCTCTTGAGCTGTGGGATGAGGGGCCTCCTGTGCAGCGCACCCTGAGACTAGGTCTCGGTGCAGTTTGTTGAGAGGGTCTGCCTGTTGGGGGGGTGCAAGGTGAGCTGGGGAGGGGAAGCAGCTGACTGAGGTGCAGTCTCCCCACCCTGAGGGAAGGGGACCTGGGGTTTTTAGGGGCTGCTCCCTGGGCAGATGGGGAGGGGCTGCTAATTCTCCAGCCCTTCCTGCTGCCCTCTGAGTGGAAAGAGTAGACTCAGGGACACCAGAAGATGCCCTTGAGAAGACAGCTGAAGCTGCTGGCCGCTGGCGTCCAGGTCATGCAACTTCTTCTGTCTTTCTTGTGCACTCTGTTCCTAGGGCCTGCGGTGGCACCTGGCATGAGAAGGATTGAGGGTGGGATGCTTAAACCTGGGCACCTTTCTGCATGTCTGCCCCAGGTGGCCCAGGCTGGTGAGGAGCAGAGATGCAGCAGGCCCAGTGTGAGAACAAACCTTTTCCTCCTTCATTCACACAGCACGATGAGCCCCAGTCACCAGGTGCATGTGGGCTTTTCCAGCAGCCAGCTCTCCAGCTGGGTGTCCTCTCTAGCTGGGTGTCCCAGTCAGCTTAACTCTGACATCACCTGCGGGGCACGGCATGAGATCCCACAGGTTGAGGGCTCAGTCCCCCAAGACCGCCCCCCACTTCAGATGCTGCAAGCACGGGTTGTAGTCTGTGCTTCAGACCAACTGGCTATAAACTGAGGTTTTCAGGGTTCTTTCAACTTGCTAGTGTGGGTCAGAAAACTCAGGGAAACACTATTATTGATGTGTACCG